TCCCTGCCCTTGCAGTGCTCCAGCACCACATCACGCCCAGCTACACCCTTGGATGCTGGTACCCCGTGTGTGTGTGTCCACACCCTCACACGCCAGCCTTCCCCCCACAAAACTCATACCCATCCACACCCCACATATCCACACACACACACGTTCCCTCACACTCCACCCCCACACCTATCCACCCCCAACAGACACACCTACATACCCACAGTCCCCCACAAACCTATACCCACCATCCCTACAATATACAAGAGTAAGGCTTTATTTTAAACTATTAGATTCAATCACCCCTATGTACATTATATAGGAAAAAAATATTTTTTAAAATCAAATTAGTGAATGTTTTAAATGTGTGCTTTATAGAATATAATTTGGTATTTTTCTGGTTCTGAGGTGGCAAACCCCCTTGCTGAAAGGAGTACTTCTGGGGGATAAGGGGGGGACTTCTGGTGGCCAAGGTCAGGGGGTAGGGGGTGGGACTTCCATTCACAAGAAGGTGACCAGGGGGTGGGGCACCTGTCAAGGGGTGGGGCTACCCATGCAACCCTTGACAGATTACCAAAGCTCAGTATGTAGCCCTCTGCCTGAAATAATTGCCCACCTGTTCTACCCATAGCAAATGTATACTTTTCTATAATTGTTTATGTATAGAATCTAATTACTGGAGGGTCATCTTAAATTAATCCCCCAACTGCTGTGACATAGAAGGAAGTGGCAAGGGGCCAGGCAGCCTGACCCTGGTCCTTGCTCCCCGCAGTCTTCCCTCCCACTACTTGCCCCTCTGGTGCCTATGCCCTCTAGTGCCACTCATCTTAGGTGGCAGCTCTTGTTCCAGCTCCAGCTCAGGGCATTAAGTACATGGCTTCAGTCTTGGCCCTGGGCAGACAGTGTCTCCAGTCACAGCCAGGCAGCAGCAACAGTGACCTCTCTGACCCCAGCCCCAGGCAGGCAGTGGTGGTGGCAGCTTCAGCCCTGGGCCCAAGTCAGGGGCAGAGGGAGCTGCATCCATTCCTCTGCTGCTACACCAGCTCCCCAATATTTCCCCCACCACACACACACATACAGTCTCCCCTGTACCTCGCTGCCACATTCCCCCAACACACTATGTGGTCTCTCCGACACCTCCCTCCTATGGGCCTCTGCATGAGCCACCTCAAGCTACCATAGTCCCAGCCAGGCAGTAGCAGTGACACCAGTGCTGGCTCCAGTCCCAGTCAGGGCTTAGGGCGAGAGCCAGGGTCACAGCAACTGCCTGCTCTGGGCCGGCACTTGAATCAAAGACCAGGCTTTTTTCCCCCTATGTTAAATGGGGAATAAAACCTTATCTTGGATTTGAGTAAATACAGTAATAGTAGAGAAAATGTTATATAGTATTTTCATTCTGCAAATGGTGATCACCTCTGAATATTTGGCAGGTGCATTTTGGGGCTTGAATGGAGGTAGAGTTTTATCCTTTCTGATAGCAGGAGGAAGGATGTTAATGCACAGATCCAAGGTTTTAGATATGGGAGTTCTATTCCTTGCCATACCAAAGGCTTCTTGGGCAAATTACTGTTCTCTGTTTTAACTTTGCTATTTAAAAATGGACCCATAATACACATTACCTCACAGGGATCCTGTTGAGGTCTCATTCATGACATGGTTGAACTCATACACTGTAATAATAATGAGGCAGGGACCCAGTGAAAGAAATAGTATTATGTCCTGTAATAAAAGACTATTGTGGTGCATTCATACAGTGACAGAAGAAAGGTGGTAAAAGCAGCCTCAGTCTGGGTATATTTTAACTTCTAGTTATTTTATGTTGAAATTCCTTTTTTCTCTTTCTGTGAATGTTGCATGGGGTTACTTGTTAAATATTGATAATGTGAGCAATACTGTATGAGATTTGCATAAAGACATTGGGCTATATCCAATAAAGGATTTAATCACTTATAAGTTAGTCATGGCAACTCCTAACCTTTAGGCATCTGGCTCCTGGAATTGAAAACCATGAAGCAGGCATTTCAGGTTCCTATCCTGTATATGGACAAAGTTGGGTATGTCAGAAAACTTGTTAAAAAATGCCCCATGCTGAGCAGGAAGTCTTCTAGACTTAGCCAGTAGGTGCACAGGAGTGTATCTGAAAATCTTTCCTGCAGAGTTTAGGTGCCTTCTCTGTTGGCATTTTAGAATTAAAGTGGCTACAGGTTTCGTTACTGCCCCTTCCTCCTCCTACTTACTTAGGTACCATTGTGCTTTGTTTCTGGATCCCAAGTGGGCTTAGGCAGGATTTGGATGACTTGCTGCTCAGACTGGAGCTGTTCCTAGACATGCACAGTAGCAGAATACTGGTGTGGACCTAACGTTCTGGTTAAACATGGAGGTACCTAAGGTGCCTCCAAGATTAAGTTGCTGATAAGCAGGGCATTTTGGATCATAATTTGGATTTAGGCACCTAAAGTCTGTGCTGGATGTGGCATGTGATTTCTGTTCTTAGCAGCTTAAAATTAAAAATATCTTCTAGTACTTTAAACTTCAAAGCTATCTTTGGAAAATTAGCTTATTCAGTGCAGAATACATTTGTTATGGTTTGATATGCATGGAGCAATGTGTGCATTTGCATAATTTGAAAACATACCGGTGAAACTTAACAACATTATCTACTATTATGAACTAGCAGTATTATTGTAACAAGACCCTAATGGAAATAGGGAGGTCATTGTGCTAGGTACTGGCCAGTCCCTGCCACAAAGGATTTGTACATTAGATATAAAAGAGAGAAAAAATGGTGGGGAGGAGGGTAGTTGTGGGTGGGGTGAGAAGGAGCAGAAGTACAGAGAGGTGGGGTGATTCACCTAAAATGACACACCCACAGTAGTGATAGAACTGGAAACAGATCCCAGGAATCCTTTGATTTCTGACTGGCTGAGTCACAGGCTCAGGTTTGTTCTCTAAGTCAGTCAGAGGCAATTGTTAAACTGTTACACATTAATTTCTGGGCTGCCATTTGCCATTTCTCAGCTAAACAAAAACTTTCTTTTGCTTTCCACTCAGCAATACTTTACTCTTCTTCTTTGTCTCTCTGATTTTTAGGAATGCCATAAAAGCAACACAAACCAGGCTTCCACATATCTTGAGGAGAAATTACAGGTGCTGGCAAAAAAACCCTCAAAGCTTGGTGAATGATGACAGCCTTATAGCTCTACTAGATGACGTGACTATAAACCAGTCATTTGGTATTATGGAAATAGTCTCTAAACCATACAATAAAATGATTACAGGTCTAAGCTTCCTTTTATCATTTTAACAGTTTTAATAATTCTCTTGGCATATACCTAGTAGCAGGAAATCCTTATTATGCTGAGATCCCATTATATACCATTGATTTCCATTATGTCTGTAAAGTTGGTATAGAATAAATTGCCTGCCCTTGCTCTATTTTCATCAAGCTAAACTGGAACATTAATGTTTTAAACTTGCTGTATTTATTTTTCATGGAAAAAAGGACCCTTGTACAGGGAATTTCTGACCTGCTTTTAAGACTGAAACGTTTTATAAGAAAAGTTTAATTACTTGTAATTAAATTCTCAAATGTATCACTTCAGTTGTTTGAAACATGACAATGCAGAGGTCAATAGAATAAATCATCCAAAAGAAAGAAAGCATTATTACCAGGTTACAGATATGAAATACCGAACAGGCTTCAAGGTATATTGTCACCCTCACCAAAAAAAACAAACATAAGTAACAATGAACTTCAGCCAAATGTCATGACTTTTTTTTCTGCAGGATTTGCTGTGAAGTTTTCCTTAGATGTGCAATTTTCCAGTTGTCAAACAGTGAAATGGGGCCACAGACATTTATTTTTAGTTGGACTGGGCCAGGAGATTGTCAAAAACTGTATGTTCAGTGATTCTTTTTCTCATGGAGGCCAATAGCTGAAAAGACAATGCCAGGATACAGATATACTGGCACAACTATAAGCACCAAGTGTAAACCTGCTGTTGCTGAAGGGGAAATTGAAGAGAGAAGATGGTCTTCATGAAATAACAACTGCCATTTTAAATATACCTTAATAGTTGCCTGAGCAAAATAAGCTTTACCAACAAAATAACTTTGTCAGTATATTTCTGTCTTCACAAGGGCTTTTGCAAGTATAAAACATTGTATGCAAGTCAATCAACATTGCTATATCAGCAAAATGTCTGATTTAGACCTTGTTTAAGCTAGATGGAGGACAGGAGGAGAAAGGACTGGATTTGTTAATCAATTATACTGTAAGGGAAAGTTTATAAATCTTCAGGGTAGCCACTCCTGATTTTGATGGCACTATACATATTAGTGTGTGTGTCTTTTGAGACAGGTACAATGAAACAACAGAAAGATCAGACATAACCACTAAGACAAAACAACTGCAATAGTCAAGTAATGAGCATACTGCATACAGTTACCGCTGGCTTTCTCCAGTGTGATGTGCAACTTACATAGTTGTAGGAGGAGTAGACACAGTTGTGAACCCTTATTAGCTCACGGTTATTATTTCAAAGCTGTACCTACATTTTAGTTTCCTGGTGTAGATACATAAAGGCTGGCTGTGTTGGTCTAAAATACCACCCAAGTGAAAGGCTCCATTGCTGCCAGGAGCCAAGGAGGAGCATCCTGCAGCAGGGAAAGCGCAGGGTCTGGCTGAAGGGCGAAGGTCATGATATGGCTAAAGGGCCACCAGGTACTTATGATTCGAGTGGCACAGACCGGGGGGAGCAACTAGCACCTTCCCCTGCCTTCTAGGAGCCCACCCAGCCCCGCGTCTTCACCCCCCGGACGACAAACCTACACAGAACAGGCAGGTCTCGCGAGACTCACTTATAGTGCCCTGCTGCGAGAGGGACTGCAGGCTGCGCCAATAAGAGCCGTTGCCAAGCCCGCCGCCGGTTGGGCGATGGCAGGCCAATGGGCAGGCCGGAAAGCGGCAAAGGGGTGGTGTCTCGATGGGGGGCGGGGTCTGGGCGTTCGCTGGCTGCTCGGCGGCGGCAGCGGCTGCGCGAGCCTCGCTCGTTGCCGCGGGGACCGGGCGCCAACCGTCGCCAACCGCCGCGCTCCACACAGGTGAGCGTCGGCCGCCTCCCCTTCCCCCCCTCACTCCACAGCGGGTGGGAGCCGGCTGCTGCTTCGCTCGCCCGGTGCCCAGCCTGCCCCGGGGCCGGGGGGCTCTGCCCTGCTGTCCCCGGGCCCCGCGCGGAGCTGAATTGGGGTGCCGGGGCGCTCGGGTGGGGGCAGTGCGTGTGTGACCATGACTGACCACACATGTCTGTGTGCATGCATGTGGCCGTGTGCATGACTGCACATATGTGTGCACATGCATGCTTATGTGCAATGGTGCATGCATATGACCCTTTGCACATGCAGGTGACTGCACACGTGTATGCACATATGTGACTGCATGTGGCCCCTCCTGGGTGTGTGTGTGATGGTGGCTGTGACCATACCTGTGTCTGGTATGTGGGGCTGTGTATGCAAGCTTGTGTGTGTGTGAACGTGTGAACATGCGTGAGCTTTAAATTTAAACCATACTCGGCTGCTACTCTCTCAGGCCAAAGGGGAACACTCAGGGGAATGTTACCGCCCCTTCTCACCCCCCAGCAAAACTGAATGCTGTGACCCTGGCGGAGAACTAATGGTAGGTAGACTGCGAGGAAGTGAGGGGAAGGCTTTGACCTGGAGGCTGGTCTACTAGGCAGTTTGCTTTTTCTATCCCTTGTACTGAAAAGTCAGGGCACAAGAGTGGGACTTGCTGAGCTATGCCCCGAATGGCTTTCCATTAGGATATAGGCACTGTCTGTCACAGGCACCTTAGCTGTTCTCAGTATATTATCAAATATTGGGAGGGAAGGATGATTTCTTCCAAGTGGTTTTACAAATGTTCTCTCTCAGCCTCACAGCCCACCTCTGAAGTTGGGTTTTAGTGACTGACCTTTTAGGAGGAGGAGGAGATGGGATTCTGACTCGCTGGAGACAACAGAGGGAGCCAGTCTTAGAAGCGAGACTAGAAATCAGATGTATTTTGTGGAGATTGATTTACTTGACTGGAGATACTGGAGAATGTTTTAATAAGAACAAGGGTAAAAAAAAAAAAAAAAAAAAAAAAAAAAAAAAAAAAAAAAAAAAAAAAAAAAAGATCCTACATAGCGCTGTTTTTTTTTCTCTCTTCATTAGGTATACCTTTTCTGTATTCTATAAGACAGCAGCTTTTGAACTGAAACTTAGAGCAGTTGTGCATTTTGCCTTCTTTCGAGGCACTTGTGCTCCAGCTTGTATTGCGGTTGGGGTGACCCTGGAGTTCTTCAGGTTTAGAGTCTACATAATTAGACATCTTGCTGTGCTAAGCACATGCTGGAGCTGTCTTGAAATATGTGAGGAAGACAAAACTCTTGGGGGTGATATCTCTTATTAGAGCAACTAAATATAGTTGGTAATGTATAATTGTAGCAGCAGTTGAGTGATGTGGAGCAGAGTAGGGCAGTGGCTTTGTGTGTTAGTTCAGAGAGAGCATTTGCAGGCACTGAGCAACATGGGCATGTAGAAGAGAGGGAAGTTGTAGAGATGTATAATTTAGTTGGTCTAAAAAGATTTCGCCTCTACCCCATGAGTTTTGTCTGGCTATGCTTTTAGATCAACATGGTTAAAACCAACATACTTAAAATATTTGAAGTCCTTAGTTCATTTAAAAGTTGCTTCAGTAAGATACTGACCAATGGCTGAAAAATTGAGGGCCCTCCACTTGTATGACTTTTGAGCATCTTATAAGATCAGTCCTTTAGGAACTCTTCTGTGCTGCAAAAGTTTGTTTAATTCAAATGCATAGAGTCAAACTGGTGCAAGCCCCATAATATAATAATTGAGAGAATTATTCTGGCACATGTCCACAAGGGGCCAGCAGGGGAGATTGTGCTTAGGGGCAACCAACACGGGTTTATTAGAGGCAGGTCCTGTCAGACCAACCTGGTGGCCTTCTACGACCAGGTCACCATATCATTAGATGCAGGGGTAGCAGTGGACGTAGTCTTCCTGGACTTTCGGAAGGCTTTTGACACTGTCTCTCACCCCATTCTCATTAAAAAACTGGGGGACTGTGGTGTTGACACCTACACAGTCAAATGGGTCGCCAATTGGCTGGAGGGCCGCACCCAGAGAGTGGTAGCGGACGGGTCATTTTTGACCTGGAGGGATGTGGGCAGTGGGGTTCCGCAAGGCTCAGTCCTCGGGCCTGCACTGTTCAACTTCTTCATCAGTGACTTGGACGAGGGGGTAAAAAGCACCCTGTTCAAGTTTGCTGATGACACTAAGATGTGGGGGGATGTGGGCACGTTAGAAGGAAGGAATAGGCTGCAATCGGACCTAGACAGGTTACAGAGGTGAGCGGATGAGAATAGGATGGGATTCAGCCCTGACAAGTGCAAGGTGCTGCACCGGGGGAGGAAGAACCAGCACCATACCTACAGGCTGGGGAACTCCCTTCTTGCCAGTGCAAAGGCAGAAAAGGATCTTGGAGTCATCCTTGCCAAGATGAATATGGGCAGGCAGTGTGGGGATGCAGTCAGGAAGGCCAACCACACCTTGTCATGCATCCACAGATGCATCTCAAGCAGGTCCAGGGAGGTGATACTCCCCCTCTATGCGGCACTGGTCAGGCCACAGCTGGAGTACTGCATCCAGTTCTGGCGCAGCACTTCAAGAGGGATGTGGACAACATGGAGAGGGTCCAGAGGAGGGCCCACCCGCATGATCAGGGGGCAGCAGGGCAGGCCCTACAAGGAGAGGCTGAGGGACCTGAACCTGTTCAGCCTCCACAAGAGAAGGTTGAGGGGGGATGTAGTGGCCTGTTACAAACTAGTCAGAGGGGCCAGCAGACACTGGGGGAGTCCCTGTTCACCTGAGCACTACCAGAAGTGACTAGGAATAACGGTCACAAGCTGGCAGAGAGAAGATTCAGACCAGACATCAGGAGGCGCTACTTCACTGTCAGGGTGGCTAGGATCTGGAACCAACTTCCAAGAGGCGTGGTGCTGGCTCCTACCCTGGTGGTCTTTAAGAGGAGGCTGGATGAATACCTTGCCGGGGATGTTTGACCCCAGTACTCTTTCCTGCCATGGCAGGGGGTCAGACTTGATGATCTGCTCAGGTCCCTTCCGACCCTACCAACTATGAAACTATATAGTTCTTGTCCGTCCACCCCTGTAACCTGTCTAGGTCCAATTGCAGCCTATTCCTCCCTTCTAGCATGCCCACATCCCCCCACATCTTAGTGTCATCAGCAAATTTGAACAGGGTGATTTTTACCCCCTCGTCCAAGTTGCTGATGAAGATGTTGAACAGTGCAGGCCCGAGGACTGAACCCTGTGGAACCCCAGTGCCCACATCCCTCCAGTTTGAAATAAGACCCGTTCACCACCACTCTCTGGGTGTGGCCCTCCAGCCAGTTGGCAACCCATTTGACTGTGTAGGTGTTGATGCCACAGTCCCCTAGTTTTTTAATGAGAATGGGGTGAGAGACAGTGTTGAAGGCCTTCCTAAAGTCCAGAAAGACTACATCCACTGCTACACCTGCATTATGTGACCTGGTCATAGAAGGCCACCAGGTTGGTTTGACAGGACCTGCCTCTAATGAACCTGTGTTGGTTGCCCCTAAGCATGATCTCCCCTGCTGGCCCTGTTTAATTATATAGATATAGTTAAACTGGTTTAGCTGTCAGTTAAATGGGCTTAGTTTGCGTTAGTACATTACTGAATGAGGCTAAACTTATTTATGTGAGGGCTAAATGGTTTGTGTGTCTATGTAGGGGTTTGCACTGGCTTAAGACTTAATATTTTAAATGATCTAAACTAGTGATGGCCAACTAGCAGCATATGGGCCACAGGTGGCACAGACAGCTGGGGTGGGTGTTTGACATTTGAGTCAAAGACCTCCTGAGTTAGAGGTGCTGGCAACAGGAGTTGACATGACTACTGGGGGGGAGTGGAGATCAGGCCAACACTTGGGGGCAAGGTAGGAATTGGGTTTCATTGTTGGCTCAAGTGTTTGGCTCTGCAGGAGTAGGTATTGGCAGACTTGGGTTGCCATGTGCCCATGGCGACAGGATTTCACAGCAGTAGTTAACAACAGCGATTGATTATAAGAATGGCGTTATTTCATACTTTTAACTTAACTTGTAGCATGCTTGTCAAAATAATTGCCCACCATTCATTTAAACTGTGAGCAGTCTTCTAGTGTAGACAAGGTCTTTGTATATACAGTCATCAAAACAATAAGATACCTCTGAGTAACTGTTTTAAGTACTGGCTGTGGCTGGATTCATCTGGGATTGAGGGGAGGGAGAGATTCATGGGTTGGTTTTCTTCCTGTGTCGTCTTCACCCTTAACTAAAAGCCACAGTAGTTCTTTATTTGGAACCATCAAGTTGATCTTTAACCACATGAGCTTCCTTCCCCTTGCTTGTTCCTTTTCTTAATTTGAGATGTTCATTTATCATGCTTTGTCTCAATATGCAAGGACTGTGTCTTCCCATATGTTTGTATGGCACAGTAGGATACCAGCATGATCAGGGATTAGATGTTCAGCAGATCACAACAGTTCTCTGTCTACAACAAGCCAAATGCTATTAAATTATTAATGGAGTTGACAGTCACCCTCACAGTAGCTGAGGTTGGTAGTTTGGGAGTCATTGGGACTCTTCTCTCTCCCTGAACCCATGCAACTTGCTGTTATTTCCTCCTCAAGTGTTTTGAAGATGCATTTTCTAATGCATGCAGCCTGGTCTGACCTTCATTATGTCTATACATCTTAGTTCATCCAAAATACCGCTATAATGATGACCCTTTTCTGGCTTGTAATTCTAAACATGTTAGCCCTGTCTCAATCTCTCTACAGCTTCCCTCTCTTCTACATGTCCTGTGTTGCTCCTTACCTGTGGATGCTCTCTCTGAATTTAACACACAGAGCCACTGTCGTACTCTGCTCCACATCTCTCAATAACTGCTGCTACAATTATACATTACAGAGTGGAAAATGGTTAGGAAGTCTGTTAGTATTCATTCTTGTCTTTCAGGTAAAAAAAGAAAGACATAATTTACTAGTCTGCATAATTATATCATATGGTTCTGGTAATTTATCCTTTTTCCTCCTTCTTTTAAACATGCCTATTGCTTCATCAGTTTTTACTGGTTATTTACAAGTCTTAGCCCCAGTATTGCTGGGAGGGGTGGGGGAGGAGGGGTGTCAGTGCCAGCGTTGTAGACTTCTGCCTCTTGTTGCAAGGGTGCCCTGCTAGAAGTATGAAACACAGTAGTTATGGAATGGAAAAAGTAAATTGACTGCAGTTGTACAGTTAGGAAACAAGATTCTATCCAAATAAATTTGCAATAGAAAACTGGTAGTACTGCGCACAAGTTTAGGTATTTGATCTGCTTTATCATCTGGTGTGAGAAAGTCCTTCAGAGTTCTGTGCTACTTAAAAGAAGAAAACAAAATGAAACATGGTATTGGCTGAAACACAATTCCCCTGCTTTGCTCAGGCAGTGCAGAAGGGCTAGATGCTAGCCATCTCTGGCCAGCTGGTAAGTTTTTGTGTGCATCTAGCTTCCAGCTCTGACAAAGCTTGTATAGCCAGTCCCTGGCACACCATGCCATGATGACATGTGGCTGGTGGTGGTAAGGGAGAGATGGGTTTAAGACAGGAAGAAGCCGTATTCTTAAATGGCTCCTGGGAACTGCTGTCAGCTGGTGTAGGTTAAAGCTGCCTTGAATATGTGGTTTAATGATGGCTGTGGCTGAACCTGAGCTATGCAGAAAATTGGTGGACACCCAGCACAAGTACTATGCAGCTTTTTGTAGGACTGAAACTGGCACATTGCTTAGGTTTTTATACCTTTCTGTACCTCTCAGGAACAGCTAAATGTTGTAGTCTTGGAAATACTAACTTAGCGCTTTGATCTTTTAACTTATAGGTCACAGGTACCTCACTGCATCTGTATAGAGCCCCACTGACTTCATGTACAAGAACAGAATAATTGAAATACAGTGAATTTTGAAGTGCAAGCCTTGTATTGTAAACTATTAAAGGAAAAAAACCTGTCTCATCTGTCAGCCTTCTAGCATAATGAGGCTTGGTTCTTATTAATATAAATATGATGTTTTGTGATCTGTAAACAGCACTCCCATTCCATGTAGCTCCTTTTCAAAACAACCTTTTAATGAAAATAAGGACAAATTGGTATGCCAAGTAGTATTCAGGTTTGAAGATGGGATCCAAAAGTGGAACCTGGGGGAAAAGAATTAATCTGCTTATGCCATACTTGACAGTATTCCCTATAGTAAACAATATAATGGTATTTCTGTAATGTGCTTTGATATAGAGGTGACTTTGCTTATGAATGTTTTTGTGCCTCAGACTTACCAGTTTTATTTCCTTTAAACAGGAGTAGAAGCATAAAGAGGCGTTTCCTTTATGAAGGCTGATAAGAGAGTCGAGTAGCAGTTTGAAGTGGTATGGCTTGACTGCTTTTACATTTGCAATGAGAGAGCTACATTTCTCAGTGCTGGAGGGGAAGTGATGCTAGTAGTGGATTATACTCATTGCAGCACAGTTGAAAACAATAAATCCTAATCACTGGTAGACTATAAACAAATGTGATGCTGAAATGAGATGAGGCTCCGAAATGGAACTGTGGCCACCGTGTTAGTTTTCATCACTACTTTCCTCAGTTTGTCCTGGTACACTGCATGGCAAAATGGGAAAGGTAAGTAAAAGTCTCTAAAAACAAACTGAACACAGGGTACGTGGAGGAGAAATGAATATTAGATGTGCCTTTTTTTTTTTACTACTAATCTGTAAGTTGTATACTGCCTGGTTCTTCTCTAGACAGTACTGCTATAATGGGTATGAACATCTGTTCCTGCAGTCAGAAAATTCTGCCAGATGCAAGACTCTTGTCTCTGTTTAAAAACATGTTTCTGGGTGGAGGAATGAAATGCTAAATACTCCCATCTGAGGAAAAGGGGAGGGGTTTATGTCCATAGCATGTTTGCAGGAAATAGGTGCAGTTCTTTAATTTTCCTGTAACAGTCAGCCAGTGGGCCAAGCAGGATAGTTACCTTTTGGCACCATATTCTGCTTCCTTGCTGACTTGGCAGTGTCAGTGGAAGGGGAAACTGCTTATCAACCTCTTTTTCACATCTATCTGGTTATCTTTGAGGAAGATGTAGAATATTTCCAGTTTGACAAAGTTGCATGAAATGCCTCTATTCTGTTGTTTGAACAATTACTTGAAATTTAAGGCCTGTGACTTGATTTTTACTTAACGGTTATGTATGCTGACAGTATTACAAAACTGCTTTAGGTGAGCCTTGCAAAATTATATATAGGCGAGCAACTATTTTGGGGTATAGTGATAAAAGTATACTAAATTTCTAAGGTGTATGTGAAGTGAATAGATGTGTATATGACCTGGAAAACTTTAATGGCTATTTTAAGGTTTAACTGTACCTTTTGATGATCAAATCAGATTTTTAAAAGAGTATATATTTTTAAATGGTTATTATGAAGCTTTGTTTGGTCCTGCTAATACTGTAGTGCTATTTTGGGTTCTGATCCTGCATTGTTGAAGCATTGACTTGTGAGAGCAAGCTAAGGACTCATCAGGAATCCTAGCTATTACAGTGAATGGCCTCTAGAATCCTTTAAAAATCTGCAAGAAGATCAAAGAAAACTCTTTCGGGGAGAAACATACAAGCTATGTTGCATGTTGACTAGATCTCTTTATTGGGCGCTTACAGTAGAAACAGATGCTGTTTTTTTTTAATCTGTCCTATGGCAGTTGGTTAATGGGCTAGGCTGTTGAATATGTAAACATCAGTGAAATGACTAGATCCTTTGAGGTCAGGGTACTGTGGTTTGTTTTAATTGGGCAATAGAAGTTGAAATGTACCAAACTGTTTTGGGGAGGGAGGAGGAGGGAATGTGTTTAACTTGGGCCTTAAATACTAATTTTTCCGTCTTGGCTAATAAAACTTGGTACTGACCATTATTTTTCTTTTTTATTCTTTTTTTCCCTGAAGGAACAGATATAAGTGCAGTTGCTATGAAATCTGGCAACGTTGACTTGTTTATAAATACTTTGATACACATCTGATGTTAGGTTGAGAGTGTGTGTGTGTGTGTGTGCGCTCACCATATAGGATTATGGCTTCTGCTGTCAAAATTTAGCTCATATACAAGAACAGATTTATAGTAAAAAAAAAATACCTAACATCAGGTTGAATTTCTACATCTTGCATTTGGTAATTACTTTATATAATGCATGGTTGATTAACCAGGTCTTTCTGCTTTTTTTTCTTTTTTCTTCTGGAGTTCGGACTAAATACTAATTTGAACGGAGATGATAATATTCAGCAAAAATTTCCCTTTTTTTTTCTTTTGGACAGGTACATAATCAAGTAGCAAGGTGCACTGATACGTCGGTCCAATATTGGACTGGTACCGATTTATAAAGAAAACTGGCTGTATCAGATATTGGCCTAATGGGGCTGATAATTTGGCCAATTAAATGCCTGTACTGCATGCAGCCTCAGCGCAGCACTCAGGCAGCAAGGAGCTTCTGCCACTGCTTGCACCCCAGGAGGGGCAAGGGTTGGGGTATGTGCCCCTGGATCTGTGCAGGGCAGGGTGGGCTGCAGCTGGGGCTGCACAGGGCTCTTTGGCAGGAGCTGGGCTCAGAGTGGGTGCCAGCAGCACTGGGAAGATGCTGCATCCACCCCAAATTTCACCTCCACTCCCAGGGCTGCCACGTCCAGCTACCCAGTGCAGCCCCGGCTCTTCCAAGCATGTTGGTGGAGGCAGGGTGTTGAGCCGGGGCTGCACCAGGTGGCTGCTGGCTGTGGTGCTGGGAGCTGAGCAGTAGCCGAATTTGGGGTGGATGCAGCATCCTCTCAGCACTGCTGGTGCCTGCCCCGAGCCTAGCTCCCGTAGAGAAGAGCCCCGTGTAGCCCTGGCTGCAGCCTGTTCCACTATACCCCGTGCAGATCCAGGGGGCATAGGCCCCTCCCTGGGTGCAAGCAGTGGTGGGAGCTGCCTCTGCCCCCTCCCTAGCCTTGCTTGGGCAGTACTTGCCCTTACCCCAGCTCCACTCTTCCCTTACCACGGGGGTGTCAGTCTGCCCCTACCACGCCTCTTTCCTCCTCCCTCCACTTCCACCACACTGGATTTACCAGCTGAAGACAGCTGTATCAGAAATCAGCTTGGTATTGGCTGATAGCCGATATTTAAGGAGGCATATCAGTATCGGCCCCAAAAATCTCTAGCGGTGCACCCCTAAGCAAGGCATGTTAACTCAATGTTAAATTGTATACATCTGTATTTTAAGCTGTGACCTGAATTACCCTGTTGCCTACCTCATTTTCAAGGAAATATATTTTTAGAATAAAACTCTAAATAGCAGGTGGAAAATGTTGCTGTTGTACATTGATTTAAATTATGGGTTATATTACTTGACTTAAAAAAACAATCAACCTACTTGTACGAAGGGTAACTTAAGTATGGTCTTAAAGATGAATCAGAAATCTTCCATTTAATTTAAAAAAACTGTTTAGCCATCATTTGAGAGAGAAAACATTACAAAAATTGTTCTGTGCCTGCTAAAGCTTTGTGTCTTTTTATGACTGGCTTCATAAAAACAAAATTATTTTTTAAGGAAGACTAATGTCTGAATATAAAGACTGTATTACAGGGAGAATACTTTCAGTTTGTGAGTTATATATTTTTCCAGTAATTCGCTGGATAGCTTTTTCTACTCCAGTTACAAATCTGTTTGAGCTGCTGCATTATTTTTTGGGTAACTTTTCTATAGTTATCTTGTATTTAAGTTGGTCAATACGTTTAGTGTTTGGGATGCAGTACAAGCTGTGCTTCAGTAAGGATCTTTACAGGCAGAAGTACTCTGCAATACAGATGGTAAACCATGGAATAGAAGAAATTTTTGCTGACCAAATATGCAGTGGTAGAGAGATCCTGGTATATAGAAAGCATTTCTTTTCAAGACATGGCTTAAGCATGTGTTGAAATACCTTCACCCTACTTTAATAAAGGCACTGATGCAAGATATTCTGCACGCAAGTTTGGAACTTCTTTTAGTCAAAGTAAGGTTCTTGCTCAGTCTAGTAGTCGCCTTGTGCCAATAAGTCAGTCACTATAATTCCAAATAGCAGTCTAGACCAGGGGTCAGGAACCTACTGTCCATGAGCCAGGTCTAACTCAAAAAGGGATTCTTTCCAGCCTGTATATCTGGGATACAGAGGCAATTTGGGGACAAGGGAATCCATGATGTTGGGTGGCACATGGTGAAAGAAATCTGCAAACTGGTGGCAGCCTGCCAAAGCCTGAGTTTCATTAATTTGGTCAGTCACTGCTCAAAAGTTGCTGATCTCTGCTTTAGATTGGTCTTTAGAACAGAGTGCCTTCTAAAAATAGTTGGCTAAACCAGTCAGTCCTTGTATATTTAATTGCTGTATTGAAGAGTACCTGTAAATTCAGGGTGAGATCTTTGCATTCCACTCTGGATTTTTTACAGTGGTAAGAAGACTAAGTCCTGTATACAGTTGGGAGAGGATTCCTCCCATAAAGGAAATATTAAAGAGAGTTGGAAAGCTGTCTTCTGAAGAACTTGAGGAGCCTTGCTGTGCTTGAAAATGATTAACTGATCTGGTGAAGGCCAGTGGGTTAAAATAGAGTCTGAGCCAGGTTGAAGCTATGCTGGCTGGCAGAAGAAAGTAATTCCAAATTAAAGTAATTGGGAGGTTTTGCACCTGGGGTACAATTGATTATTTTTTGAAAGTGTATACCGTCAGTTCAGCCTGTGATTTAGGAGTGTTCTTGGGTACTCTTCTACCATCAGCTCTCTTAGGTTAAGAGGCTCTTTCTTATACTACCAGGGAGGGATTTGTCCAGAGTTGTATACCTTCATCATCTCATATCTGGACTGTAGCTCTGCAAGATATTTGGGTCTGAAGTCATTTGTCTTTAGAAGACTCCAACTAGTAGGACACTACTGCCTGTCTTCTCTGTGACACTGGCCACTGTAAATGGATCAGAACTATCCTTTACTATATGTGTTGGCTTCTCGTAAAACAGACTGGTCAGTAATCTGAGCCAAAGGTGCCTAAACCTCTGAGGAACTTTCTCGCCAACAACTTTGCCCCTCCTGCACTGTGGATTTTCTATCACAAGGCTAATGTCTACATAGCAGTTACCTTGCTTGCATGATGGGCTGAGGCTGTGGAATGAACTGCCCCTACTACCAGGAGCGGATCCAGGATTTTATAAAAGGGAGGGTGTGGCTCCAGCATCTGGCACTGCAATGGTGCCTGCATGTCCTGCTCTCAGCCTCCTGTCCCTTCCTCCTCACCTGGGCAGCCAGACCCTCCCCTGGGAACAGCAGCTGAGGAGTTTTAAGTCCCAAAGAAGGTAAGCATTCCCCCTTCCCTTCCCCTCTGTGCTCAGAGATAGTTTCCTCTCCTCGCCTCTCCACCCCATCCTCTTGAATTTTTTCCCCCTCCCCACCTGCTGCTGCCAGTATCCCTACTATCTGTGCTATTCCAGGGGTGAGGGAAGCTCCTATTCCACTCTAGCAAGGCTGCGTGGGGCCAGCCAGTGGTGGCAGGCGAGTGGGTTCCCCTTCCCTGTGTCTGTTCCTGGAATGAGGGGGAAAACTGGGAGAGGAAGAGCAGGCATGGAGAAGGGGAACTT